GGCGTCATGTGTCATTGATGAAAAATTAAAAATATTTGTTGATTTTGGCATATAAATCTAACATTTTCAACTGTGACAGAGCGAAATCCCCATTGCCAAAAACGATTCCCCCCGTTATGTGAAAAATACCTGTTTCGGCCAATTTCAATGCACACACATGACGCCCGCATAAGCAACCTTACAGGCCCCAAGCCTGTTGCATCTTACGCTGTGCCAAACCAAATCCCCATTGCCAAAAACGATTCCCCCCGTTATGTGAAAAATACCTGTTTCGGCCAATTTCAATGCACACACATGACACCCGCATAAGCAACTTTACAGACCCCCACCTGTCACATCCTTTACCTTAATAATATCAGTTGATCCTTAAAAGAGCACATTAAAAACGGTTTTGCAAGGTGCGGTATGTAACATGCGCGGAAATATGATAATTATAATATATAAAAACTAAATATTATAAAGATAAATCTAGTTCAATTTAGTGAATGCAATAAAAGCATCCATTGTCAGATATTTTCACATGGTCTCCATTCTGAAAGGATTTTTTAATTGACAAACATTTATAAAAAAATAATAATATCGAGTAATAATATATGGTAAATTGTATTTTTGTTTCTACTATAAAATAATTGGAATTTTTGAAAATTTATTCATTATAATTAAACATCTTAAATATGTTAATAATTTTAGGGTAATATTTCCGCTAGTAAAATAATAAATTTTTATGATATTTTTAAATTTAATTCACCATAAAAAATATTTTATACACAATCTTACGGATATTTTTGCTAATAATTATTTAAATCGTGTATTTTTATGTTTGTTTGGTGTGGGGTATTTTTTTTCAAAAACAACTTAAATCTTGTTTTACCGGGGGATTTATTGACATTAAAAAACGATATAATTTATTTAGATATTTATCTAATCGTGTTATATTTATTTTCTATTCTTTGATTAAAAAATAATTTTTAAAATAAACTCGACGTGTGTTGGAAAGATTTCTCAACATCAATGTTATACAACCTCCGTAACAATGGTTCGGCCTTTTAATAATCTTTTTAAATTTATATTCACCACGAAATGGATGAATAAAATATGAGTGAAATGAAAAAAAACATACGAAAAGTTTACATGGATTTTTAAATAAATCTAATTTTAAATCAAAACAGATAATCGGGAAATTTCGAGAAATTTGATTCCTAAATTTCCCTCATGAGGATTCATCTTTGTTGAAAATCAAAAACCCTTGGCTTTTAAAATTTTTATAGGTCGAATAATTGTCTGAAATATATTCTAAAAAACCATTTGGTTATTTTCGATTAACTAATCAGGGAATTTTATTATATTTTACCTAAAATCTCAATTAAACCGAAATGATTTAATACCGTTCTATATATTTTTCGCCGATGCCTTAAATTTGTTTCCAACTTAAGCCCATTTTTAAAGTATCTTTAAACAAAAAACGAACCGAAAGAAAAATCAAACAATATTTTATTCTATTTTTATATTATAACAAATCAACTCATTAAGTTTTCAAATATTTAATTTATTTTATACCATATGAAATGTTAACCAAAATTTCGGGAAATCCTTTGTTTTTAAGCCGAAAAATCGGCCAATTATTCGGGGAAATGGCTATAAAAATAACAAAGGATTTTTTTAGAAAAAAAAATTAATTATTATTATTTTTAATTCAGATTATTTTTATGTTTTAAAATATTCGATATTCGTTTTGGTGTGTTTTTCATAAAATAACAAATCGTTCCGTTTAATTGAAAAATGGAAAAGGGAAAGTTAAATTCGTTTTTTCTTTCGGAGGCTGTGGGCCAATTGAAAAAAATATTACGAACCCTTTAAATTTGGTTACGTTTTTTTGACAAAATATTTACTTTAATTGCTTATCAATTATGGGAAATTGGGATTTCGTTGGGTTTTAAAACGCTCAAAAAAGAAAATCATTATTGGCGAACAACACTTTAAAATTATCCATCGATTATTCCATACTATTTTATGTTCAAATAAATAATAAATTTCAAATAATCTATAGTTTTCAATTTTTTTCATTGTTAAACGATGGGTTGGTCTTTTTTTTCTCCATTTATTTTGTTTCCAAATGGTTTTTTTGTTTGCGATTTCTTAGGAACTTTGTTTAAAATGCACACAAAAAATCCATAATCAAAACATATCAGATTTAATTTCTATTGAAAAATTCGAAAGGGATATAAATTTAATTTCCATTTTAAAATTTTTCCCTCTATCAATATTTCGTCGGTTTGGAGGTTGTTTGAAAATAAAGCCAGCTAACTCCCCTTATTAAAAGGTATTGTTTCATTTCCCATTAACTCTAAAATAGGTATTCGACGTTTTTTATTAATAATTTATTTATTATTTTATTTCCGTTTCTTAAAAATTTGTCTTGTTTCTGAAAAAGGTTAAAAATTTTCGGAATCGGCGCCTTGGGGTATTTTTGTGATTAATTTAAAAAAATTTTAATCAAGATTTTTTTTTAAATAGTTGAACCCTTATATTTTTAAGAAATTTAGGGGGTTAATTATTTTTAAATATATATATATATGTTTATGCATAATAATTATAACGTGGTATGCCGTCTTCCCTTTTTTTTTTGTGTGTGTG